ATGGGGGCTGCTGGAAGCGGCGCGGGCCGAGGGACTTACTGGCCGCCGCTTCCAGCAGCCCCCATTGCCTGCAGCGGCGAACCGCGGCCAGTGGGAGCCGCGATCGGCCGGACCTGCGGACGGGGCAGGTAAACAAACCGGCCCGGCCCGCCAGGGGCTTTCCCTACGCAAGCGGCGACCCCAGTTTGAGAAACACTGATTTATTCACTCTAATTTAAGGTTTCGCATGCCAGTAATACATTTTAACGTTTTTAGAAGGCCTCTTTCTATAAGTCTATAATATATAGCTAAACTATTGTTGTATGTAAATAAGGTTTTTAAAATGTTTAAAAAGTGTCATTTAAAATTAAATTAAAATGTAGAGCCACCTTCTCTCCCCCCACGCCCCCGGACCGGTGGCCAGGACCCATGCAGTGTGAGTGCCACTGAAAATTAGCTCGCATGCCGCCTTTGGCATGCGTGCCATAGGTTGCCTACCCCAGTTCTAAACCCTGGTTACCTAAGTAGAAGTGGCCTGATTTTCAGAGGCCAAACAATCCCATCCCTGATGGGAGTAAGTTGGATCACTATGTTGAGGTGCTGAAAGTAGTCTGCTTTCAGCATTGTGTCCCAGTACACCAAAGTGGTGCTTATACTCAGTGAACCATACATGCAATCTGTTATATACATTTTCATAAAACTGAAAGTATCCCTGATAAAATGACTGTATTTAAATATGTTATAATAATTTCATTTTTATAACTTTTTAAAATTCTCCATTTTTTCTGACACAGCAAGAAAATTCAGCACAGCAGGAGTATGCTCTGCAACTTCAGAAACGAGAACATTTTTTAGCTGAAAGAGAAGCATTGCTTTTCAAACATGAAGCCGCTTTGACTAAGATAAGAGGTGTGGAAGAGGAAGTTCATGCAAAATTTCAAATTATAAAGGAGGTACAGTAATTTGTATTAGAATTATTTTCTTGGGCAAGCGTCGTTATCTGGGGCAAGCCATTTCACTTATTTCTTCAGTCCCTCAATTTCGTCACCTGGACATCACAATGGAGATAATTCTCATTTTTGTAAAGAGCTTTGAGATCCTCAGATGAAAGTTTGATATACAAGGGTAAAGTAATATTGCTATGTATTTTGGTTATTAGTAAAATCATCTTTCTGAGAAAGCAATTAACAGTCTGGTTTAGGGGTTGCCTTTTGCTGTTATAATTTGGAGAACAATATTATCCATTTCTAAAAGAATAATTAAATGTAACCACGTGTGTGACTTTGTTCTGTATATCAGAAAGAATGGTTGGAGATAACTCGTCTAAAATGTTGTGATACATTAGGAAATAGTTGGTCAGAACATTTTCAACTAAATGAAATTTTGTTAATATGTTTCATCGAAGCTGAAATAGTTTGTGGCGCTATATTGATTTTGACAAAAACGTTGTCAGAAGGTTGGGGGTCTGGGGTGAGGGGAGAAAGAAAGAGACGCACACGCTCTGTGGCCTGAGTTATGGGAGACCTAGGTTTGAGTTCCTGCTCTGCCTGTTTCAGAGAGATCTGGGATGAAAAACTCTGCTCTGAAATTTTGAAACCTTGAAAGTTTCTTCAAAACAGAATTGTCCCCTGAACAACTGTAATAATAAGTGAATGAAGAAAGAGACTGAGGCTAGGTCTACACTACGGGGGGGGGGTCGACCTAAGGTAGCTGAAGTGGCGTATTTTAGGTCGACTTACCTGGCTGTGAGGACGGCGGCGAGTCGACCGCTGCCGCGCCGCCGTCGACTCCACTTCCGCCTCTTGCCGCGGTGGATTTCCAGAGTCGATGGAAGAGCCATCGGGGATCGATTTTATCGCGTCTTCACTAGACGCAATAAGTCGATCCTCAATAGATCGATTGCTACCCGCCGATCCGGCGGGTAGTGAAGACATGCCCTGAGAGCCTGATCCAAAGCTCGTTGAAGTCCACTAGAGTCTTTCCAATGGCTTCAATGGGCTTTGGATGAAGCCTTCTAATGAGGAATGGGATAGGGTAAGAGCAGGATGGAATGGAATTAGGAAAAACTGCTCTCAAAAAGTTTAAACTTAACCTTAGGTAGTAATTCTGTATTTAAGGAAAAGAGATGAGAACATTGATTGTGAGACAGAAAGCTGAAGGTAGCGAGGTAATATATCTTCAGCCATTTGAGACATGTATTAATGAATCATAAAACAACAGTCTGGAGTGTTTTAATGCTATTTTATTTTAAAATATGCTATTTAAAATTCATTTCCTGCAGTAATTTTTAGTATGACTTCTTTTGTTTATTATTATATGCAATATATCTTTTTACTATAAAAATAATTTTGTAGTGTAAGGATGAGAGAAAATAGTAAGGAAAAATAATTTATGTTGTTTAAACTTATTTTTAAATTACTTTCCTAAGATTCCTGGACTCTTAAACTTTTTCCTGTCCCCCTGAACCCAGATATACTTTCAGGAGCGGTTTAATAAGCTCTTGATCTATCTTTTGAAATACATTTAAAAAAAAAAAAACAACAACAAAACTCTAAAATTCAGCATTTCCACAGCTCTTTTGACTGCCTCTGAAGTGCTGTAGAGCCAAGAAGGAGGAAATATTTTTAAGGATTTAGCATTTCCCTTTTGAAGTCTGGTTTCCTGAGAAGTTCTGGCAGGCATGTCACAAAACTAAAACCTCCTAGTAAATTTTCTTAGTATGTTATATGGTCTAGCCAACCTGTAAAACACAGTAGCTTGGAGAAGTTCATGATTTTCTTTGAAGTTCTATGGTTCCCTGCCAGCATGGCTACTCTACTTAACAGTGTCTTGCAGGCAACTGGTTCCTTTTCAGTTAAGAAGGTGAGTTATATTTTTTGAGTCTAGCTCTTTGCTGTTATGATCAGTTGGAATTCTTTTTTTTATACTGTCTCCAGGATTGAACTTCTGAGGGTAGGTGCCAGAACATTCCCGCTAAAGGCTTTTGGCGCTCGTGTTTGTTTTCTATGCCTATAGGTCACATTCAGAGATTTTAGCTTTTAAGATGTTGTATAAGACACACTTTTCAGCTTGACTTTATAGGAGTGTGAAAGCAGGGCTAGAAAAATTTAGTAGACATTTCTCAAATTTTACCAAACACTTGAATGCTATTTGAAGACTAGTACAAAAGATGGTAATTCTCAGATTAAGGCAAATTTTCCCTTCTCTCTCCTACCCACATTTGTCACAGTCCTAATTTTCAAAAGATCATGGGCAAAAAGTCCAGGCACACTTGGGCATGCAAAATTGCACACCTGACCCTCTGAAAATTAGACCTTGTGTTTTAATATACTGATTGCAGAAGTTGTTTCTAGTTGGTATATCATGAATCATATTTTTCTATAGCAACACGAGGCAGAAGTTAAACAGCTGTCAGAAACCTTGAGAGAGAAGACTAAAGAAAGCAAGAGGCTCAAATCATCATTTGACACCTTGAAGGAAATGAATGACTCTTTAAAAAAACAGGCAAGATCCATTTTCATACCTATTCAAGAAAAATTGTAAATATTAGAATCAATTTAAATTATTTTTGGCAAGTTGACTGATTGTATTTGCAGTCCTGTTAAACAAGAAATGACTCTTGTTCCTTTCCTACAACTTGGTTTTTCTTTTAACTGGTTGGTGTCTTTTTTTTATAATCTCAAATACTGGTAAAGTTTGAATTACTCTTCTAAATAGCCAGCAACAGGTCACTCATAAGAAAAGAAACATTTCAATATCCTGCCAAGGAAGTTGAGACGCCAAGGATAGATAGCCTTCTAAAATTCAGAATGCAGCCCTGATCTAGTTAATAGCATGGGCAAATCTTCGTGTATTCTATAATGTTGTGGAATCTATTCTTTGCTACTGAATTTAAGCTTTTAAATACAATATATAATTGTAAATATAACTTTGAAAATATAAGCCAAGTGTAAACAATAACAGTGTTGTCTTTAGACCCAGAAAGACAACCAGAAACAACTATTCAGAATAGTGTCAAATGTTCTGTTCATTTCACTGAGCTGTTAATTTTCAAGCCTAAAATGTTGTTATAATTGTCATCTCTAAACTATATTTCACTGTGGCTCTTCCAACTAACATGTTTACCCCATAATCTTAAACTACCTCTCATGCTCATCAGGTGCTAAAAATCTGTTTCCTTCCCCACTGCCAAATTCTTTGTTTTTCCTTAGGACAGCTTCTGCAATGCAGTTGTATATGTTTGCAGTACAAAAATGTGTGGCATATTCAAAATGTGGGGGCAGGATAAAATTAAATAACCCAAGGGGTACCATACTGATTTATATTGCTCATTTTCAGATTCAGTTAAATCATTTTTGTAAAGTTTAATTGGAGATGATGCACAATTTTCAATTTGTTGTACCGGTGTGCTGAAGAAAAATCTAGTGACCTTGCTGCAGAATTTAGGTTCAGTTTATCCTGAAATACAAAATGATAGAGGCAGTGATAGTTACCAAGTGAGAGATTCAATTGGTTACCTCAGGCTGGCTTTGCTACGAATGATTTATAGTGAATTATTTCAGCCTCTGGGGAGGGAAAGCGAGAGTACATATGCTATTTTACCTTTTCACCTTTTCATGATTGATTATGGAGCATTTTTGTGATGTCCTTCTACTTTATGCCAGTGTGGTGAGAAAAAGTTAAGGCAGTTGACAAAATGTTAGTCAAATTTTTAAAGTTTAAGGCCAGAAGGGACTACCAGATCATCTAGTCTTATCTCCTGTATATCACAGGCCACTAAAACCCCCTAGCGACTGCTAGCTAAACCCAAAAACCAGAATTAACAAAAGTATTACTGCCCTCAGAAGACTAAACTGTTGTGTGTCTTAGGGCATGGATACACTTGCAGATGTAGAGCGCTCTGAGTTAAACCAGCCTTCGTAGAGCGCTCTGAGTTAAACCAGCCTTCATAGAGCGCAGTAGGGAAAGCGCTGAAGTCTGTCCACAGTAACAGCTTCAAGCGCACTGGCATGGCCACATTTACGGCATTTGCAGTGGCATTGGGAGCGGTGCATTATGAGCAGCTATCCCAGCATGCAAGTGACTGCAACGTGCTTTTCAAATGGGGGAGTGGGGTGGGATAGAGTGTGACAGGGAGTGTGTTGTGTGTATGTGGGGGCGGAGAGTGGGTTTTTGGGGGGGCTCAGATCATGTCAGCATGCTGTCTTGTAAGTTCAGATAGCATCAGACCCCCTATCTCCCCCGCCCACCTCTCTCTCTCTCTCTCACAGCATTCCACGCTAATGATTGCTTTTCTTGGGGCAGATAAGCAGTTGGCTGTCAGAAACAGAGCTTTCAAAGGGCATATCCGCATTCCTGCTGCGATTCAAAACAGACAAGAGTGGCCACTTGACTTAAGGGGATTATGGGACGTTTCCAGAAGCTGATCAGAGCGCAGTAATGCAACGCCCTGTTCACACTGGTGCCGCGGCGCTCCAGCGGGGGCGCAGCAAACGTTATTCCACTTGCCGAGGTGGAGTACCAGCAGCATTGTAGCCGTGGAGTCAGAGCGCTCTACGTGTCTTGCCAGTCTGGATGGGTAGTGAGCTAGTGTGCCCGGGGCTCCTTTATTGCGCTGTAACTCGCAAGTGTAGCCAAGCCCTTAGATAGAGAACAGGAGGGATCAATGTGAGACCATGCCTGAAGTCCCTGTCATAGCAGGGGATTGATTAAATGAGAGAGACCCTGAGGATCCTAGCAAGTGATTTGTGCTCCATGCTGCAGAGGAAGGCAAAAAACCCCAAGCTCCCTGCCAGTCTGGTGTGAGGGGAAAATGCTTTCCAGACTCCACATATGGTGATTAGTTAGACTCTGAGCATGTGAGCAAGAACCAACCAGTCAAGCATCTGAAAATGGAATTCTCAGTTCCATTTCAGAGCACCAGTGTAAGTTTGTGTGTGGTGTACACTTCTGTAGTTCTACATAGTCACTGCAGTCTGACTTTATTCCACTATATAGACGCTTGTCCAGAGAGACTGCTCTAGAGAAATTAGTTATGCAGATAGTGCTCTGAAGCTGTAAAGATACCTATAACTGTCACTGTACGCTCATTAATATAATGCATAGAGCTATGCACACAGATAATTTCAAATTAATTGTATATGTCTTCTTCAGAAAATCTCACTCTTGAAGGTGTGGTTTCTGAATTTGGGTGTGTCTGTAATGTGAGCCCAGTGTTTGGCTTGCAAGTTGAATTGTCAATTCACAGGACATAGCTTATTATACATTACACTGAACAGTTAGCAGAGCTCTTACTAGCTGACTCTCTTTATAAAGAGGTGAATGATCATTGCTTTGTTCACACGATGAGCAGATAAACTTGCACTTTAATAAATCTAGCTGCCTATAACTAATGATTTTTGAACAACCTTTATATGAAGTAAAGAATGAGTTTAAACCTGTTTTGAATCCACAAATATTTTAAACATATTTTCCAATTCTTTTAGTTAAGTGATGTAAGTGAGCAGAACAAGAAGATGGAAGTTCAAGCAAGAAAAGTACAAGCACGTTTAGAGAATTTACAAGTGAGACTTATTTTCCTTATTACTTCTTCCCTTGTAAGAAACAAGTCAAATCTAATTTATTTAATATATCCTGTTGCAGAGGAAGCATGAATTTTTAACAATACAGAAATCTAAAGATGTTTCTCAAGCAATGCAAGAAATTAAATCTGTGAAGCAGGAAAAAATGGCAGCAACATCAAAAATTTGTAAGGTAAGGCATAAGCAAGGAGGAAAGGAAACTTCTGTCTTAATTAAAGAATATTAGATATTGGAATATCTTTCTAGAAGCCCCACTTTTCTTATGCCTTCAGGAAACTAGTGAAGTCATTTACTCATGTCATTTATTTATGAGTGAACTACTCAGTTATACTAGGAAAGGGCTTAAAGTGTTCAGGGAATAAGAACAGTGGAATTGTAAGCAGTGGAATTGCACTGGGGAAAATTTAGTATGTTTAACTGGAAAAAGAATTACATTTTAAATATGTCACTAAAAAGAAGTGCACTTATTGTCATCCTGATCACTTTGCTTTTATGTTGCATCTCATCACCCCTCTTTTAATCTGTCCATCTTTTTAAATTGTGTCTGTTTCTTCCGCTGTTTGAAAAGTTCTTAGCACATTTTGATTACTCCACAATGTAAATAATATCTCTATGTACAGCTTTCTATAGTTAACTGAAAAGAAAAACTGGTAAGTGATGTCAGATATAGGAAGATTAGCTTGTAAGCCGTAGGTAATTATGCTCTTAGTGCTTATAGTAGAAAAAGCCTCTAGTGAGGCAAAAACTGAGTAAATGCTGATATGTTTCATACATGATTGCAATATGGTCACCTTCCTTCCTTCCTTTCTTCCTTCTGTCTTGAAGCATTCTCTTTTGCTTTTGTAAATAATATTTCTTATTGCAGTTTTGTCCTATTTAATAGTGTGCCTTCTGTCAGTTTTCTACCATTATATCCCTTCTGGTAATTATGACATCTAACAATAAAATTACTTGGAATAAAATTGTTTGAAATATTATACACAACTTTCTGTTTGCTTTAAGGGAACTAGATTTTTCCTTCTGAGGGCCTACTCTAGAAACTTCCTTGAATGCATCTGTCTTTTTTTTTCCTGACAAGCCTAAAAAAATTTGGTCCACTTTGGGATTCTTAGTTAATGTATTGGAGAAGGCAAATTAGGAGATGGAGGGTGGGGGGGGCAGGGTTGTTCTTCTGAAGTCTTGTTCTTAATTCTTTTAATTTATTCATTATTGGAATGAACATTATTCAGTTGTAGTTAATGGGGTAAATTTTAAAAGCAGTGGGCTACATACAAGAAAGTGACATGAATTGTTTAGTGCATCAAACATTTCCCACATAAAAATTACCACATGTTGATAATACCTGTGAACTATGCAGTTGTCTTTCACGTTCTCACATTCTTACGACCAAAGTTGTAAAACGGACCCATTCTTTGGGTTTTTCTAGAAGATGTTTTTCTAGGACTTTTATATAAATTTCGTACCTGTATGTTTTCTGCCAACCAATAATCACCACAAATAATGGTCTAAACTCCTAATTTTTCTCAGGCATTCCGCCATTCTACTCCAAATATACCTCTACCCCGATGTAACGCGACCCGATATAACACGAATTCGGATATAACGCGGTAAAGCAGTGCTCCAGGGCGGCAGGGCTGTGCACTCTGGTAGATCAAAGCAAGTTCGATATAACACGGCTTCACCTATAACGCAGTAAGATTTTTTTGGCTCCCGAGGACAGCGTTATATCGAGTTAGAGGTGTACATATAATGTTAAAACGGTTTTCATATTCTGACATACCAATCTGTTTTCTTTGAGTGGCTCTAATACTATACCATATGTTTTGGAAAAGCTTCATAATCTTATTTAATGTTATGGTTGTTACAGGTACCACTTAATTCACATGTTTATGAGCTTTTAACTGTTCTTATGGATTGGATCTCCGATCAATTCCTCAAAGCGAAAATAGAGGAAGAAGGAAGAGACAATCAAACACAAACGTACTCCCACAAAAATTACACTCAAGAAAAGTGTGCAAAGGTAAACGGGTTTGGATTGGGTTTTTTAAACCTTGTGGCTAGTGTGTGCCAGTTTTATTTATATAGTTTAGTTCGAATACTATTATCAAAACAGAAATAATTGTGCATAGTTAACAGTTCAGTATTCATTCAGACAGTAATATTTAGTGGGCGTTTTGACACTTATAGCTCCAAAAATACAGGCCTTCCTTTATTGTAATTTGGAAGTGTCATTGTTTTTCTGCTGCAAAGGAACTGAGAGGGAATCAGGATGACTCTGCATTTTATACACTCAGCTGCATGCACAAAGACGTCCAAGTACTGCTGGCAAAAGTCACATATACAGTGGAATGTATATGTGCACAACGCATCTTGACGAACAACATTTACCATAGAGATCAGTAACCATTTTTTTTCCTTTGGAGGCAGAGTTAAGGTGTCAGTGCATTTTACAAAGAGAAATCAAACAAACTACACAGAGAATTCATAGGGCATAAATCCTAACCCTGTGTGAAATTTCACATGGATTGGGCGCATACTTTTTGAGAAAAACAGGAATTTATGCCCCATTTTGAGTCCATTTTAGAAGTCAGCCTTTTTAAAAATAATAATCATCTGAGTTACATGCTATTAACCTATAATGTAATTTTTATGTACTTGCTGTGCGTGTCCTAAAAGTATTCAATGCACTGGATCTGCCAGATAAGTATTTGCATGTGCAATCCATTATCATCCAGGAATTTAAATTGTTTACTCAGTGACAGATGCTGTATAAAACTATACCACTGTACATTTTTCCAGCTTTTACCTATTGTTGCTGAACAACTCCAGTGGATGCCATTTGTGAACCCTAAACTACATATGCCTGTAATTAAATTTACTTACTGGGCTATAAGGCAGCTAGACTGTGGGACACAGGTAAAACATGTATTCTACTTACAGAATAATTCTTTAATATTTCGTGTTCAGAATGCTCATTCTCAGAAGATGCTCAGATACTATTATATAAGATAAATAGATGCTTTTCGATTTACTGAGTATAGTTTTAAAAAACCCATCAGCCTTCGCAACATTCAAATTCAAATAATTTGCTGCAGATATGACGCAAAGGGAAAAAAATTAAGATAGTCATTTAAAACTGCTTTATGTCACAATTGTTTTTATCAACTCTGTATTTAGTTTTATATTATAGATCTGATCCATGCTTATGTAGCCCCCATTGTAATATCATCTGAGAACCTCACAAACCTTGAATTTATCTTCACAACATCCTTCTTAGCTAGAGAAGGAAATCCCCATTTTTATGGATGTTAAACAAAAGATGCTACCTAAGTGAAACCTTGTATTGTTTAATCCTGAAGTAAATGTTTTCATCCAGTATGTAATGGAAGTTCTTACAGAACCGTACTGTAGCAGCATAAATGGTGTCATACCTTAGGGTTCAATCCTGCAACATTTTATGCACATGCCTAACTTGTATACTCTGAGTAGTCTCTTTGATTGCAAAGCTAGGCACATGTCTAAATCTTTGCAGGACTGGAGCCTTAGATTCTAATAAATGATGCTGAAGTTACAAAGCAGATTGTTTTTACATGAGCATCTGTATTTTTTTTTTAATTTGGATCACATTAAAGATGCATTACATTAACAGTGTGAAGAATATATTCTGCCCCCCAGTTTTACCTTTCCAATTCAGTGACATAAACTCCAATAATAAAATACTTTTTCCTTTGCTGGTGAACACTTGTATAATATGTCAGTGTATTATGCATAAATTCTCCTTATTTAATTTTACATAATTGTAATTACTTAATATATTGATTTTCTTTAATACAGAAACATATAGTGGGTCAGTCCTAGAAAAAAAAAATGAATTTGAACTGTTATAAAGGCTACTAGGGTTTTAAGAGTGTGCCCTAGCAAAAGAGTAACATAGCATTATATACATGAGTGATCATTTCCTTAAATTTTGGAAGCATTTTATTGCAACACTATACCATAATTAAGTGGTTTAGTGTTTCCAAAATCCATCCCGCTTTTGGTTGGGATTTTCAAAGGCTCTTAAAAGAATTAGGTGTCTACTGCTATTGAGTTTCAATGGGACTTGAGCATCTAATTGCCTTAGGCAACTTTGAAAATCCTCTCCTTTAAGCTTAGCTTTAATTTTGAACATTTTCCATATGGGAATATATTTGATAGCTGTGGATGAAAAGAGAATTCTCTTGTCACTTTTAAATATTATTGTGCTGAAACATTGGGTATAGAATGTCATCCCACAGCCAATTTTTTTCTTAAAATTTGTTTTCATTTATAATTTTACTTTTCACCAATAAATGATCTTAAACTACATCACTCTTTTTGCATTCATTACCTAATTTACTTCAATCTCACATGGCCTGGTTCGTTACAGAAAATTGACACGTGAATGTCTGAATCTTGAAATTGACATCATTTACAATGTTCGTAAAGAAATTAATCTCGTATTCAATGCTTCCTTCTCTACTAATTTTATGTTGTCACTCAATGTGGGAGAGTAAGTGCAGATTGATAGTTTAGTAATTAAATTTTTTTTTAATTTAAATTGTGTCTTTAAATTGTCTTTATGGGTACATTGCAAATATTGTATTCTACTAGATTTAACAGAACAGTAACTGCTTTTAGGTTGCTATCCCATAGTATCTAGGCAAAACAGAATAATTTAAAGGTTGATTCTGTTACAGTCTGGGTTTACTAGATTTATTTGTCTCTCAATGTTGTTTTAATACTGGCTAAGTTTAATTGTAATATTTTTAATTTACTGCCACCTGTTTATATAACATCCCTCAGAACGTACAGTTCTATAAATATAGTATTTTAAAATAGACTGCTTTAAGTTGTATGATTACATTTACTACTCTTATAAAATGGATACAATGTTTACAACAGCATTCAACTATGACATCAACTATGAGGAGGCTTGGTGAAGACATATTCAAAGGCATAGTAACTAAGGGAAACCAACATGGCTCTTCTGAGCAATCTGCTGAAAGTAAACCAAAGATAGCAGCTTTTTTTAAGAGTTCCATTTTACCTTTGAGATTTGTATCAACTTTAATTGTTCTCAAAACAGTAACACAAGGTAAGTTCTTAAATGTTTTTATTGCATTTAGTAAATAGTCTTTGTCTGGGCAAAAACCAAATACACAAAGTCCATCAAATGGATTGTATTATATCTGTGTCTGAAGTCCCTTGTAATTGTAAAGTGAGGAATATGTTCTTGAAGTTTTACTTTATTAAGAAACAAAGTATGCTGCAGCAAACAGAAGGATTTCTAAAGTTATAGTTTGAATTATATTAAGATGTTCATATGTAGAGTATGATATAATTGACATTGTCAAGGTGGATCCACAGCAAAAAGGGAAGTGGAAACTAGACATGTTGGTGGTTGTATATTTCACATGTTTAGCTATTCAAAAGGATAAAAATGATACAGGAATAAATGTTTTATTCAAAGTTCAACAGTTGGGTGATGGTTGATTCAGATAGCTGGGGATTTTTTATAGCTGAAATAAATAAGCAGTTGTTTTTGCACTGCTTTTTAGGGAGACCACATGTTTCATGTTCAGGCTAGTAGTATCAAGCATGCTCTGCTAGTCATTTGCGTGTCCTCTGAGTGCATGGTGAGCTGCATTGTCCTTGTTGCTGACATATCTATTAAGTAGGCATGGTGGTGATTTTGTAGGTGACTTTCCCTAACTGAAGGACAAATGATAGTGAGATAGAATTGGGGCAGAAGATATGTTCTAAATTACTGGGTCATTTTTAGCTGTGCTGAAATTGGGGCTGGTACACACCCGTACACCATGCAGCCCTTATCTTAGCTGCCTGTATCTTGCTTTACTCCTATCCTCTCTCCACTGCCAAAGGCCAGTCAGAACCATACTGCCTGAGGCTGGGGCAGGAAAGCATCAGTTCTTCAAGTGATCATCCACATATTGCACCATTAAGTACCCTTGCATCACAATCCCCATCTGAGGGCATAAAGGGCAGAGTGGGCCCTTTCCAGTTTCTTATCTCCATGGTTGCAGGATGGAACCCGTGGCAATGTCTGCTTCTCTTGCGCACTGTGAGAATTAGCTTAGCTAGTTTAGATTGTTTTAGTATTCGTGTTAGAGTAATTGTTTTCTTTTGTCTGTTTGTCTATTAAAAAACAAGACTGTATTATATTTAGCATAGTCAATCAGTAAGTTTCTCATAACCTAGCCCGACACCCACATACAGGAATACTAGGATCATGGCAGAAGTTAAGTCACTAAGGTTTAAGACCTGTCTTTCATGTGACACTGTGATACCCATCAACGATGGTCACGCTCAATGCTCGATATGTCTTGGTGAAGGACACATTCTGGAACATTGTTCCTTGTGTTGCTCTTTCTCCAACCACAGAGAGAGCAATGGAGGTGAGGCTGAAATTATTCCTGCTGGAGAAGTCGATGCAGGTCTCCTCAGACTCAAGGAGATCTTCAGAGAATCCTCAATGTCACTGTCAGTCCATCTCTGACCTCCATGAGCTGCGACTCGATTTTGGGTGGCTTCCTTGTAGAGGCCTCCTTCATCTGCTGGTACATTAGCATTGACATCTTTCATGTGCAGTAAGGAGCACCACTGCAAAGATGAGCCTAGGTCAACTTTCCTGGCACTTAGCAAGAGGCGGAAAAGTCACTATGACTTACCCTGGGCTCAGTTGGCAAAGGGTCATAAGAGCAAGAAGGCCCATTCCAATACCAATTTCTAAGGCAGCTCATATGATACCATCTAAATCTAAGGGCAGAGCTGCCTATGGTACCAAATATGGTACAGAGCACCTTGATATCTAGTGCCTCTGCACTAAGTAAATCCTCAGAAGTAGCAGTTTTCCATTTCTTAGTATTGACTAACTCTACAGTACCTGATACATTGGTCCCGGCTACCTTAGCATCAAAACAACAGCTGGTACTAAGCAACCTCTCAGTGGGCCCAGTATCCAAGTCAACTCTGCTGGAGATACTTAGTACATAGCTCCCTGAAGTACAGCCACCATGCTTGGCCAGAGAGGTATCTCCTATACCAACGTAATCTATATACAGGTTATACCTGATAGGACTGCCTTTCTCCTAGAAGAGGCGAACCCTTTTTTTCTCCTCTACTGTTGAGCACAGCAGAGAATCATCATCCACTTGCCTTTTATCTTCCCCCAGGATAGCTCAGTGAGAATCTGAGACAGGTTCCAGGGAAGAATTTCAAAGGAGCTAGAAAGAGGTCAGGATCTCAGAGGGGTCACCCAATTAGGTATCCCCCCAATGTGCCCTCCACTGCTCCAATCCTACCCATATTAATTCATTTCCTGACCACACTGGACCACCCCCTTCAGATGTTCAACACTGTTTCAGGAAATCTGCCTCCTCCACTGTGTCCAGGGCTAGGTCTCCCTTTGGCAACTCTGTTGCTCCAACCACAGCTGCTGAAAAGACCAGAGGAGGAGAACGTTTAAAAAAAAAAAAATCCTCTAGAGGAAGAGCATCAAGTTCGGGCTGAATTTTCCTCCTCCTCCCAGTGAGGCCATGATCCCACCTACACTGGCCTCTCTAGATGTATTCAGGGTTCTCCAAGACTTAATAAAATGCATGACGATATTCCCCTTAAGATTATGCTAGAGAAACAACACAAGTTCTTGAACATATTATGCTTTGCAACACCAGGGAGGTTAACCATGGCAATAATTGATGCCCTGCAGGAGCCTGTCATTTGCCTGCTTCTGTCTTAGCCTGGTTCTGAGAAGAGACAGAAGACTTCAAGTCCCTGCAAAAGGATTGGAATATTTTTTTTCCCTCACATCCTGCACCTGTCTCTCTACTTGTGCAAGCTGTATACGGGAGAGGACAAAGCAGCAAAGTCCTCTGAAATCTGTCCCCACTGAAAAGGAACAAAAACATTGAATCTTTTTGGCTGGAAGGTCTACTCATTCAGAAGTGCAAATGAGGCTAACATATTACTGTGCGCGCGCTCAAGGTAGGATTTCTTAAAATAGGACAAATCTAGTTTTGTTGATAGGAGCACCAAGCAGAGCTTAAATCTCTTATGTCGGAGAGCCAACTGACAGCTTGGACAGCACTACAGACTGTTGAACATGTCTGACTGGTGCGAACAGCAGCCTCTGCAATACCCCATGAGAAGGTTGCCATGGCTCCCCAGTCATTCAGTATTTCTAGGGAGGCAAGGTGACAATTTAGGACCTCCCATTTTGAGGGAATTGACTTCTTCAGTAGGGGAACTGATGAAGACATCCATACTTTAAAAGATTCCAGAACTATCCTATGCTGCTTGGGATTTTGTATCCCAACTCAGAAAGGGAAGCAACCATGACACCAAACATGTTTCAGGCAACACTACTTGACACAAGACTATGTTCATCCAGCAAGGTCTTCTGAGCCACTGAAGAAGAGGCAGAGACTTCACCAGAGGTGACCCTTTCTTTTGTCCTTGGCTGCCCATAGTAAGGTGTTTCAAATGGGCAGCAGGTTTGACACGAATGTCAGTAGTCTGCTTGGACTTCTACAGGATCTTTTCTGCTCTAGTCTCTCTCCCCTCTCCCCCCAACATCTTTGGCATTACCTCAATCTGGTGGGTTCTTGAGATTGTGCCAACGGGTATCCCATTCACTTTCAGTCCCTATCAGGCTCTAGTTCCGGGCAGTCAGGCTGGTGATTAAGAGAGATGGTCGAAGTTGGCTGCCAGGCCAAGAGCAATGGTGAAACCGGGGTCGAGGGACAGGCCATGGGTCAGAGCTGAGGTCAGAGTCCATAGACAAGCCAAATTAGTATTGTAGTTGGAGTCCAGGTGCAGGCCAAGGGTTGAAGCCTAGTTGTGAGTCCGGGGGTCAGGAGGTGGATGCAGGGCTGGAGCAGGTCAGTAACAGAGCTAGAGTAAGGCTGGGACAGGAACAGGAACTGCATCAAGAGCAGGCTGGAAGCCTAGGGAGTCTGCTACACTGTGAGGCAGGAGGAGGTTTCCAGGCTGGGTCTGTGCAACAGTACTACTAACTTGCAGCTCTGGTGGGGTCAGTAAAATACCTGTACCTAAGGGTCATCTGACCCACGCCCTGCTCAGGGATAGGTTGCTGCAGCATGCCTGAGGGCTGAGTCACTGCAGGCTCTGTTGGAGGGATGAGTCATTGCAGGTGAGTTGCTGCAGCATGCCTGATCTGGCAGCACATTTGCCTCACAATTCCTTTCAATCCCCTCTCCCATTTCCCATCCCTTTTCAAAGACCCTTCTCATGAGAGACAACTGAAGCAGGAGGTGGAGTCCCTTTTACAACTTCTATTGTTCCTACTTGGGTCCTTGGAGTTCAGGCACCAGGGCTTTTGCTCCCACTCCTTAATTCCAAAGAAGAAAGGGTGCTGGAGACCCCTCCTTGATGTTTGATGTCTCAACACTTTCATCCATTGTTTTAAGTTCAGAATGGTAATCCTAGGTTCTTTAATCCCTTCATTAGATCCTATGGACTGGTTCATGGCTCTTGACCCACAAGATGTCTATTTTCACATCTCCACTGGAAATACCTGAGATATCTGGTAGGAACATCACACTACTGGTACAGAGTCCCAGCCCTTTGGCTTTTGTACAGCTCCAAGGATTTTCACCAAGTATCTGTTGGTAGTGAAAACTCACCTAAAAACAAAAGGAATCCAGGTACCTTCGATGTCTGGCTAATGTGAGGAAGATCACCACAACAGGCGACCAACCCAGTACAGACAATCCTAAAACTCTTCATCTCGTTAGGTCTCAAGGTCAACAGAGACAAAATCCACACTGATTTTTGAAGCAGAAAATAGTTATTAGGAGTAATGTTCAGACTCCAAAACAGCTCGAGCTTTCCACAGAGAAGGTTTCAGGCAATATTGGACCTCATCAGTCAACTTCAGCCCCACCCAAGAACGTGTCTCAGACTTCTAGGATACATAGTCATGTGTTTGTCACACAGCATGACGGACTTCACCTTTGATCCATGCAAAGATGATGGAGATTAGTGTATCGACCCAGCAGACAGTGCATGTATTTGGCCTAGTGGATGAGGGAAGCAGTGGACCTGATTTTAGTA